GCACAACTGTTAAAGGGTTGACATGAAATCAATTCTATACTAATATACAAACATAATATAACTTAGCACACGATTAGAGAAGGCCTGAAACACTCCTGAACAGAAAAACACCAGAAAACTGTCCAAACTTGCAATTTTGGCATAAGGATACCAATTTCATATTTGGATCGTGCGTTTCCATTCTTGATCATCAAAACATCTTACCTACTTGATATCAAACCAATCCAGACCTTCATCCCTGTTCTGTAACCACTTTTCCATCATCTGCCATTGTTTCTTTCGAAGCTTTCAGTTTGACTTGGCCAAGGAGTTTCAGGCACTTTCAGAGCAAGACAAAGGTTGGAATACGTTCAGGGAAGTTCAAGGAAGCTCAAGCAAGCATCAGGCCTCCATCAAACTCACTCCAGTTCCATCCACGATTCCAACTGAAGGAGGTAAAATCTCAAACTCTATCTCCTAATACAGGCAACCATTGGCCATGATTTTTGAACAAATAATGTAGTCATCATTGCAACGAAACTATACATATCTTTATCTTGTATTGATTTTACTTGAGTTGAGAGAATTTGGAACTTGAAGTTTCTGAAAATATTAGGTTTATATTTAGGGGTTTTAAAATTCTCTCTGATCTTTGATTGTTAGTTTACGTAACTTATATGGTTGGAATCGTGAGTTCAAATACTATAACTTTCATGTTATGAGTTTTCATTTTCATGGAAGTATGAGAGAGTTACAGGATGTCTGGCCAAGCTTGAGGAAGAAGATGAAGTACAGGGAAAGGACTTGTTTTGTGTTATATTATTTTTTTCTTTCCTTAAGACAATGGATGTATAGCCACCCCAGTGGCAAAGTAGCGCACTGGTGAGACCCATGTCCTGGGTTCGAACATGGGCGCTACTTTTGTGTTTTACATTTTTCCAATTTTTTCTCCAGTTTTTTGGCTTTTTGCAGGTTTGGGCTTAGTCTTTTGGGCCACAGTTTTTTTTGCTAACATGCTACCTCTAAATTGCTTGCCATACCCCCTGATCCATTATTTCTCATACATTTTTATTTGATTTATTTTTGCTTTCATAAATATTTTCTTTAATGTATAAAAATCCAAAAAATATATATCTCATAATATTGCATCTTTATTTTATTTTAGTTTATTTTTCACATAAAAATATATTTTATTTTTAATAGATATCATGTATTTTCTCAATAAACTTGTAAAATATAATTTAAATATATTTAGTTTAATTTATTGATTTCTTTTGCATTTCATACTTATAAATATTTATTTTTGCATATATAAAAAACTTTATATTTTTTTTACAATATTTTTTATTATTTTAATACAAAAAATACATAAAAAATAGTATATAAGAACTTTAATTTCTTCTAAAATAATAGTTAGAGTTAAATCTCCCTTTTAAAATTAATTTCTTTTCCTTATGATTTTAGGTTTAGAATAAAATTTCTTTTACATAAAAATAAGACAAAAATCTTTTCTTACATGTACATTGTATTGCGTCTTTAAATATTGTATTTTATTTATTCTAATTCGTACACATTTGATTTGGTTGTAATAATTTATTTAGGTTTATATTTTTGCAAATCCCCATTCAAACTTGTACATCCCCCCTCCCATAAAATGTTGTAATAGCATAGTAATCTTTAAATTACGTAATTTACCGCTTTTATATACCATGCTAGTAATTAGGGTTTGTATGGCAAGATAAAAACAAATCAAATAGAAAACTCTAATCCAAGACAAAATCAAGCATGAAAATAACACACTTACACACAAGCACCCTTAGGGTTTCTCCACTTGGTTGCCTTATACAAAAATGGCCATATTACGCATGCGAAGTATCTTGGAAAAAACAACCAAATATAAGATCATAGTCCCTCGATGACGCTATTCAAAGTTGCCTTACAAAATGATCTTGGTCCCTCAAAAAATGCTAAGATACTTTGCAACATTGCTAATCATGGTTATACGATGACCCACGCCCGTCCCGTTTACATCCAAAGATAGGGTTGCTTACCAAATTAATGGTAAGACAACAATATCAAAGGAAAAGAAAATGAACAAGAAATACATTTGAGTAGGTAGATTACTTCTAGTTACTTGCTCCATTTCAAACAACTATCCTTGCTATTTTCAAAACAAACACACACATTTCAAAACATCTTACAAACATTGAAAACATTTTCAAAAAGACAAACATATTTGTATACATTCTTACGAACAAGAATCATTACAAAGATTGCCTAAACAATGACCTCTTTTACAAAATACTTTCAAAAAACCACACAAAGCACAATTTCAAAACAAAAAGCAAGTGATCTAGCAAGTAACTAAGAGCGCATGGAAAACCATGGATGAAAAGGGTGCTAATACCTTCCCTTTTCATAATCTACCCCCCGAACTCAAGAAAACATCTCAAAGGTCTTTCCTGTGCTTTTTCACCTTTCCTTTTGGATAAAAGAAAAGTCGGTGGCGACTCTTGCTAACCGCAACATTTGCGATAAAATGAAAACTCTCAAGTCAGTTCTCCCACCGTATCACACATGTCTTTGAGCGTCTCATCCCTGTGCTGCTTTTCCGAAGCTGACTGGATTAATTAGTACCATTTGAACTTGACACTTGCTACCGAAGTCTATTTGTAAGGTGATCTGACGAGACATAGTTGTACACTTTTTATCCTTAAATTTTGCATGGACCGCCCTTTCGCCTTTTTAGTCCACCGGGATACCATTTTTTCCCAAGCCGCCTTTTCAGGTTTTCGACTTGCTGGGTGTATAGATTTTTCCATATGTATATCCTTAATTTTTTCCCGAACCATTTTGGTTCACCGGGATGCCCTTATTTTTGCCTAGGACAGTCGACCTAGCGGGTCTTTGCTTATGCGTAGTATCTTTTAACTATGTCCGCGTTTATAGAGTGCAGAAGGTCATCACCGTCCATAGTGGTTAAGATCATGGCTCCACCAGAAAATATGTTCTTGATCACAAATGGTCCTTCGTATGTGGGGATCCATTTGCCCTTGTGTAGCGGTGAAAATCGGAGATCAAGCTATTAATTAACTTAACTCACAAAAGCAAGAGTCGCCACCGCACTTTATTATTTCCAAGGGAAAAGGGAAAAGAGCGAAATAAAACCCTAAAATATACAATGTAAAATAATACTTAAAAGTAATAAAAATACAATGCGTTTTTTGAAAGAGATCGAGAGTTCGGGGGTTGGTTATACAATGGAAAGGTATTAGCACCCACTGCATCTGCGGTACTCCGCAGGAACCTTTTGAAATATCTGTTTTTGGTTAAAATTGTTTGTTTGATAAAAATGGTTCGTTTGGCTAAAAATGGGTATGGACGAGATTTTGAAGATACGACGACCTAGTGTCGAAGTTTTGACTTAAAAGGTGTGAGTTTGAAAATTGAATCTTTTTGGGAAAATTATCTTAAGTTTAACAAAATAGTAAACAAGCAAAAAATGAATGAAGGGGTTCGCGCAATCGTATGAGATATGTTCGGTGACATGAAGTCAACAAATTTAATCCTTTCCCTTGGAGTTAATCATAAGTGGGTAGGTCTAGTAATCGAGCAAGAATCATATATAAGTAAAAAAAATCCAAAAGAAACAAACAAGGAGAATAGTGACAAGATAAACTATAAGAAGCTAAATAAACGCACAAAGAAGAGTCATGAATAAAAGGAAAAGATAATTAGAGGGTTATCTAAACTAATTTTGAAATTCTAAGGTTACTAAGTAAACTAAACTTAAATTCTAAAGTTTCTAATTAAACTAAACAAGATTTTAAAGTTAATAACTAAAACTAAATTAAAATTATAAAATTACTAACTTAAAATTCTAAAGTTAATAAATTAAATCTAAAATAAATTAGAATTCTAAAATTACTAAGTTAGATCTAAACTAGATTAAAAATTTTAAAATTAGTAAATTAAATCTAAACTAAATAAAAATTCCAAGATTGCTAACCTAAAACAAAGAAAGTTCCAAAGTTACTAAACTAAATCTAAATCAAATAAAATTCTAAAAGTTTACTAAGTCAAATCTAAATGAAATAAAATCTAATTCTAAGGTTTACTAAGTCAAATCTAAATGAAATAGAATCCTAAAATTACTAAAATAAAACTAAACAAAAAATTCTAAAGTTTACTAAGTCAAAACTAAAACAAATAAAATTCTAAAGTTACTAAATTATATCTAAATCGAATAAAAATTCTAGAGTTATTAAATTTAATCTAAACTAAAATGAAAATTTTAAAGTTATTAAATTAAATCTAAACTAGTTTAAGTATAAACTAAATTCATTATAAAATTACTAAGTTAATCTAAACTATATTAATAATAAAATTACTAACTTAAGTCAAAACTAAATTAATTCTAAATTAAATATTAAAAATTCTAAGATTAAATTAAAATTCTAAAGTTATCAAAATGTATCTAAACTAATTAAAAGTTCTACATTACTAATTTATATCTAATTAAATTAAGATTCTAAAATTATTAATTATAATTCTAAATATTTTAAAGTTATAAAATACATCTAAATTAATTAAAAAAATTCTAAATTAATACTAAACTAAATCTAAATATAAGATTAACTAATATTTTTTATATATTTTTTTCTAATAATAATGACGTGTGGATATAAAAAGAAAAAAAAACTTAGACCCAATTAACACACAATCCTAATTTGTCACATAATAAACTAAACATAAAAATGAATTAAAAAAAATCTATTTTGATGAGTGCATCGCCCCTAAACTTGTTAAAGGAATTTGGTCTGCTAACTAGCTGTCATGTGGCAAACCATTAAATAAATAAAAAAACAAAATAATGATAGCCCACTGAAAAGAGAGACAGTATATGGAATTAGAAAACTCTTTCCTCGTTATTTTTCTCTCAACGAACGAATCTTCTTCTGCTTGCGTCTGGGTCTGTGCTACTCTGTGTGGTTTGTTGAAGAGATGCGATTTGAAGGTTTATGAAGGGAGTTGGGCAGGGTTTTGAGAGGTTGATTGTTTGTATAGATGGAGGATCTGTGGTTTTTGAGTGGGGTTGAGGGTGTTATTGTGGTTTGTGAGAAAATCTTGAGATTTTAACAAAGAACTAGTTTGGTGATTGAGATTCAAGGAAGAAGATTGGTTCATATTCTCGCCTCACGATCCAGGAAGATCCGTTCAGTGAGAATCACCGGTTTCGGATCTTCATCGGAGCTTCTAGAATCAACGGGAAGAAGACTCGCCGATTTCGCGAGTTCGCTCGGACTTCCATTTGAGTTTCATCCGGTGGAAGGTGAAATCGGAAGCGTAACAGAACCGAGTCAACTCGGTGTTGGACCAAACGAAGCCATCGTGGTTCACTGGATGCACCATTGCTTGTACGACATAACCGGAAGCGATTTAGGGACGTCGAGATTGCTGAATCAGCTTAGGCCAAAGCTAATCACGACCGTTGAGCAGGATCTCAGCCACGCTGGTAGCTTCCTGGCGAGGTTTGTGGAGGCTTTGCATTATTACAGCGCGTTGTTCGACGCGCTGGGGGATGGTTTGGGTGCGGACAGTGTGGAGAGGCATATGGTGGAGCAGCAGCTGTTGGGTGAGTGCAGTAGTTAGCGCACAGTGAAGATGAAGGGTGTTTTCGCAGAGAGAGGAATAAGGGAGGTTGGGTTCATGTTACTGTATTGCTTTTTGTTGTGTTGTTTTTTGTCAAGTTCATATGTTTAAGAAATTTCTATAGTTACTGTGAAAGATGAAAAAAAAGGTTTTGATCTTTGGGTTAGAAAAAGTATTTCCATCGTCCATCCGTTACTTTTTTTTTTTGTTATTGGAGAGAGGGTTTTCTGCTAGTAGAAAAATGGGGATTGAAAGTTAGATAAAAGTACTGCTATGTTTTTTGTTTTCTCCCCCTTGCTCTTCACCATTTGCTTATGTTTTTATTGTGAGTGTATGATAGAATTGGAGGGAAAATTGGAGCCAAATATCAGTTGATTTCTAGTTTATGTCAACTTCTTTATGCTTTCTTGATGCAGGGATTTGTGATTTCATTTTTGGGCAAGCTTTTTGGACAGCAAAGGTAGCAAAAAGGTTGTTTGCAGACTGGTTTTTATGCAGGTTTTTGGAGTGAAGTAGCAGCAAGTTTTGTTGTGTAGCATGTTTGGGTTTTATGGAAAGTTAGGATAGGGACAATAGCATGGTTTTGGACTGATTTTATTGTTTGGACATTTTTTACAAGGAGAGGAATAGCATAATAATAATAATAACAACAAAAAATAAAAATAAAAATATTAAACTAAAAATTTCTAAAACATGAACATTAAAGAGAAATTAAAATTAATTTTAATTTTAATAATAACTCAACTAAAAAGTTGAATTAAAATTAGAACCAAATCAAGATTAATATTGAAAGAAAGAAAAATGAAAATTATAATAACTAAAAGAATTAAAAGGAAAAGATATTAACTATATATTTTTGTGATTAAAGTGAAATGCTAAAATAAAATAATGCTAAGACATGTTTTTTTTTGTTGAGATTTTTACTAAATTAAATCTAGAAGACTATAATTTTGACTTAAGAATAAAAATCTAAATGAAACTTGAAGAGACTACTTTTTTTTATATTTTGAATAATAATGTAAATAAAATTAAGATGACATGAACTAAATATTTTTTTAGGATTTTTTCATGGAATTAAAAATAAAAGAAAAGAAAGTGTAAAATTTATGGTCGGATAAAACACAGTCCAAAATTAAGAATCAAATTCCATTAAATTCGTGAAACAACTTCGAACGTTAATGATTTTTTTATGGCTTTTCAATGCATAATCATCTCTTGTCTTGTAAAGAAAAATTGTAGATGGTGTCAAGAAAAATCATATGCAAAAAAATAACCCCTCAAAATATTGAAATTTGAAGAAGTTATGAATTTTTGAAATCTGACTCGGGAATTGGCAAAAATAGGTCGAATTGCTTGTGAACTCTTGCCATGCAATGATGCGGATGGAATGCGGGATCTTAGGTCAAAAATTGGGGTACAACAGCTGCCCCTATTTAAGTTTCTTCTATCTGGAGATATGAAGATTGGGATTTTCATTTCGACGAGATTGAAGGGACTTAAATATAGAATACACAATTTTTGGCCTTAAGATACCGCGATTATGTTTACGATATGATATGAATGTGATGTTTTGAATTTGATGGGGAATGACGCCATATGAGACAGACTATGCTGGAGAAACCAAGCACATTATACAGTAATCCCACAGAGGAAGAGGTTGTAACTCCACTGGGGAAACAAAGTCATAGACTTCAAATGAGAGACTCTTGAATGATTTACATCAGTGTTGAGACTGGAAAAGAAATGATTTACATCAGTACTGAAACTTGAAAAGCATATGATTGACATCAGTACTGTGGCTGGAAAACAAAATGATTGACATTAGCACTGTGGCTGGAAAACAAAATGATTGACATCAGCACTGTGGCTGGAAAACAAAATGATTGACATCAGCACTGTGGCTGGAAAACAAAATGATTGACATCAGCACTGTGGCTGGAAAACAAAATGATTGACATCAGCACTGTGGCTGGAAAACAAAATGATTGACATCAGCACTGTGGCTGGAGATAAACATCTCTGATTTCACATTTCTTCTCTAACCAAGATATCGCTTGAAAAGGATAAAATAAACAAACTTCCCCACAGGACTTTTCCGAAAGGGATGCCATTTGCTGAGTAGACATTATTGTTGGGGATACACAAGCTGCTCAAATAAAGAGGCCGCCATTTGCTATCTTTCAAAGGTGTCAATAACATACAAGCTGCTCATGAAGAGACCGCCACTTGCTGTCTTCAAAGAAAATTAAAGCATACAAGCTGCTCATGAAGAGTCCGCCACTTGTTGTCTTCAAAGAATATCAAAGTACACAAGCTGCTCATGTAGAGTCTGCCACTTGTTGCCAATAACCCACAAGCTGCTCATATAAAGAAGCTGCCACTTGCTGTCTTCCAAAAAGTGTTGATAACATACAAGTTGTCCATGAAGAGACTGCCGCTTGCTGTTTTTAAAAGTGTTGATAACATACAAGTTGTCCATGAAGAGACTGTCGCTTGCTGTTTCTTTTCAAAATTACCAATAACACACAAGTTGCTCATGAAGAGACCGCCGCTTGTTGTTTTCTTCAAGGTATCAATAACACACAAGTTGTCTCATGAAGAAACTGCCGCTTGTTGTCTGTCAAGAGTATCCATAACACACAAGTTGTCTCATGAAGAAACTGCCGCTTGTTGTCTTTTCAAGGTATCAATAACACACAAGTTGTCTCATGAAGAAACTGCCGCTTGTTGTCTTTTCAAGGTATCAATAACACACAAGTTGTCTCATGAAGAAACTGCCGCTTGTTGTCTTTTCAAGGTATCAATAACACACAAGTTGTCTCATGAAGAAACTGCCGCTTGTTGTCTTTTCAAGGTATCAATAACACACAAGTTGTCTCATGAAGAAACTGCCGCTTGTTGTCTTTTCAAGGTATCAATAACACACAAGTTGTCTCATGAAGAAACTGCCGCTTGTTGTCTTTTCAAGGTATCAATAACACACAAGTTGTCTCATGAAGAAACTGCCGCTTGTTGTCTTTTCAAGGTATCAATAACACACAAGTTGTCTCATGAAGAAACTGCCGCTTGTTGCTTTCTTAAAAGGTATCAATAACACACAAGTTGTCTCATGAAGAAACTGCCGCTTGTTGCTTTCTTAAAAGGTATCAATAACACACAAGTTGTCTCATGAAGAAACTGCCGCTTGTTGCTTTCTCAAAAAGATACCCATAAAATATCGTGAAGATATTGCCGGAGGTGAGAACCAATAATTTCACCGGGGATGGACAAACTGCTCATGAAGAGACCGCCATTTGTCATAGAGAAATCAGAAATAATCAAACTGCTTAAACAAAGAGTCAGTCACTTGTTGTCATGTCGATATTCCGGAAGAAGGTTGTGATAACACTACTGGGGAATAAAGCTCATCTTCAATGGGGAACCATGAATAAATCCTTCTTGAGGAGACCAAGTCTTTACGTTGCAAAATAAATGCACTCTCCATCTAGGTTTCACAGCCTAGAGAGATCTACATGGTATCGTTCACAAGAGACAAAGCTCAATCCAGGAATAAACTGGAGAGAAAATAGTCAAACAAGACTCCACCCAATGAGGAAACAACTCAAATGGGGATTTATCCTATCCAGAGATGGGAAAGGAAAGCTAAAGCAAGATTCTTCCACGAGAGTTAACTCAGTGGGGAATTAGAAAAAGAGGCGCACTTTCTGCTTAAGTTGACACTCTATTTGGAAAGATCAAATACGCTATTTGAATAGACATAACCAAGGTGTACGGACTCAATGACATCAACAAATACAACTGTGCATGCATGATGCAAGTGTGAATGAATAAATGAATGTCATGTATATGCTGACAAAACAGACAGGGGAGATGGACAGAAGATGATAAGACATCATAGTACAACCCGACACTCGGCTAATCTCAACAGGATGGGAACATTACTGGAGATAAAACACAGGCCATCATTGGAGCAAGGTCCTTTTACAAGGCTTAAATATCTCTGGAGAGGAAGATATTTTCAGGTAGAAAACCCAAAGTCCAGTCTTCTATTGCAAACAATCCATTGAAAGGATAACAACACAAACAAAGTTTCAGCTGGAAAGAAGTCTTGTTTAGCTGGAGATACTGGGAACACCACCCTCTGATAATGTATGAAAAACATATCTTGGCAAATCTGGATTGCCCCTGGGATTAATTTTGGATGCCCCAAGTTTACTGCTGATAAGCTGCGTGATGCACGACAATTCTTGCGAATAACTTCACTTCTAAAATGCCCCGAGCTATATGGTTGGTGAGGAGAAATCGTCTCAAAAGGATTTTACAAAAGACCTGGCATTCACCATGCTCTGGTGTCTTCAAACTCTTAGAGAGATTCATCAAATCTCTACGTGATTGCCCCAGATTGACTGTAGTCGGCACAACAAAGTCTTCGAATTTTTGCCCCAAACGAACAAACAAGTTGGGAAAAGCATTAACTGGGAGAAGCAACGTGTTCGTGCTTACGGTCTTCAGGTGACATGCCCCTGGATATGATTTTTCTTGAAATGATTCGCCAATTACTCAGTAGAGTTTCAGGCCTTAAAAGAACAAACTCATCACTGGTGCTTATATGTGAGCTTCATTGATATCAAACAAATGTTTTGCAGTTAGAAAAAGTTTACAATGAGAATGAAAATTCTAATGCAACAGTTATGTAAGTCTTGAAGATTTTGAAAAGATATCGCACAAATTTTGCGAGTTAGAGCACCATTTATTTTTGTGTAGGAAAAAACATATGATACCAACATAACTATTTAGAACATTCATGGGAGTCAGGAACACTATCTCATTGAAGTATGCTTTTAAAATAACCTTGCTTCAATTAGGACTTTTGAAGGTTGTAACGTGGTCTGGTTCATGGTTTTTAGAAAAAAGATTTTAAGGCTCAAAATATTTGGTGCCCACCCCCTTCATGATGTTCTCCAACCCTATGTTCAGTTAATTCAACATGAGTGTTCATC